TATAGGTATGTTGGTAATTATTTGTTCTTTTAAAAGGTTTTTAATTTGTAAAAAGGTTTTATTACTTTTAAACAGGATGACAATTTATTAAATATTTGTGCGCCTTGATACACTATATTAAGTTTCCCGCAATTGGTCCTTGGTGGTATTGAACATAATTGATCATTATTTCTTAATGAATATTGATCACTGACAACTCTTTTTTTATTTCATTTTAATATTTTTATGCGCGTGTAAGGGAGCGTTTAAGTAATACGTAACGCAATTTTTGGAGATTATTGACCCCCCTGTTACTCGCCGTTACGTTTTTCAGTACCCAAGTATAGTACTGTACCCAAGTATAGTAAAACGTTTCGTGACCACCTAATGACTCTTTAGTTACTATTATGTGGTGTAAGTCGAAAAAAATAACGCGTAATTTAATTCCCGCCCCGCATCGTAACGTTTTATAAAAGGATCCCCCCCCTCCCAAAAAACGTTACGTAATACTTGAACGCTCCCTAAGTAGTAGGCAGTTAGCTGGTAATAAATTATAAAAATATACTATCTGATAATGGATAGTAGGTATATTTTTCGAATAGTAAAAGAAAATTTCGACAAGACGTGTAGGAAAAACTTTGAATAATTCCAATTGCAATGCCATTACACTCATTACAAAGTTATGCAGGCAACTGTGCTCGTTACGACTGTGCTATTGTTGCCGTAATTACTGCCTTTGGACTTAAAGTGTTGCACTACATAACTTTATATTACAAAAGCTGGCCATTTTGTTAGAAAATTAGGTTTAAATGATTTGGTCAGTTATATGCGACAGAGTATGCGCGGTTGAGTCCGGTGCGAATGAGACAAAAGCAAGAAGTGCTCTTATATTTAAATTACATGCATTAATAGGCATTGTTTAGAGGCCTCGGAAGAATTTTAAAGTGACTCCAGGACTACTTAAAAATGTACGTTTTTCATCTGTAATCGTTTTTCTCTGGTCGGAGTTGAGCCGCGTACTCTCGTGCATATCCCGCATATGCTCGCTAGATAAATATAGGCATCACCTGAGTCATTAAGACATTGGTACATATATATTTCGTTCAATATATAAAAAAATATAATACACTAAAATTACAAATATAGTTATGATAATGTGTGAATTTTATATTCTTATAATTTGAATATAAAATCTTTTATTATAATGCATTCGCCTACATTTCAAATTTATAAATTTTCAACGTCTGTGACCAAATTAGCCCAAAGCTTTGAAACCCCGAAAGCCTTTGAGCTTTGTAAAACAAAAATGTCTACAATTAGACATTTACTACGATTAATTACTGAAAAGTTGAAATAGGGGTTTCTAAAGCTTTTCCCATCTATTTGAAGTTACAGTCAGAGAGAATGTAGTCATTAAGAGTACCGAACTCTAATGATTACTTAAGGCATTGGTAAAATTATTCACCATAGATTTAAAAAAATAAACCAATGGCTTTTTAGGTCTGGGCCTCAGATTTCTTTAACTGTTATAGTATCATGACTTATTGTATCTCTTCTTGGGTTGGTGCCCGAAAGACCCATCTTATAAAACTTGATGGAGCACAACGTACCTTACTTAAATTTATTAAATTTAAACCATTCAGGTACCCTACAGTCGATCTTTGTTCAGATTGCGACGTCTTAACAGTCAGACAAGTATACATAAAAAATATAATTATCTATCAACATCAAAAATTTATTTATGATGATGCCATTGTAAATAGACGAACACATAGAGTCTGTCCCACCATTCAAACTAAATCAAGTTATTTACAAAAATTTCAATGTTATACAGGCCCTATGTTCTACAATAGGCTGAATAAAATAAAATTCATAGATTATAGGGGATTAAATATTTATCCCCTTATTATCTATGAATGTAAAATAAAACTGGTTGAATGGCTAAAAACTCATAAATATAATTAAATAGAAATCTTGTTTCCTAAGAGTGTACAAAAATTTAATTTAAATATAAAATCTTAGTACTAAATATTAGTTTCCATAATTATATAAATTATAACGACACTAAATTCATATCTCAAATTCAAGTTTCTTATCCAAAAGACTTAAAATCTTTGTCGAAGTTCACATTTACTACGGTCTAACCAATTACAACAACTTATTTAGATTCTACCCTCATTTAGTTTAATAAACATATAACCCGAATAAACATCTTCGACAACAAACAACCCGAATTATTTTATGTACGAGGTTAACCAAAATGAATAGTGTAACTCAACGATGTGTAAGTTTATAACCTTTAGAATGTAAGTACAAAATGTGATTGTTTTTCCATCAAATAAAGTGATTTTTATTTATTTTATTTATTATTTATGTTTTTGTGATCAGCCACCAGTGCCTGACACTCGCAGTCAACTTTTTGGGATGTTTTCCTTTACTTTTCGAACGAATGTTAAATGCGCACATAGACATAAAGTCCATTGTTGCGCCGGGGATCGAACCTACGGCTAAAGTATGAGAATCGCACGATGCAACCACTAGGCTAACACAACCATAGATTTAACCAGAACCAAACAATAGTCTTGACCGATGTTTCCTTAAACCCATCATTTATAGGGTATTAAAATTCGTAGCTCAGATTTGTTGTGTTTAAAAATACTACTTATATCTACTGTACTGTAAGTTCTAATTCCATCTAAAAGGATACGAGATATGCATGATGTTCCTTGTCACATGAACATCCACCAAATTAAAAAAAATATTCATGATATTTTCTCTTATTTAAGCTCTGAGATTAGATAACATTTGCTCAACTTTCCAAGGGTTGAAGATTGAGGTAAAAAAGCTTCCTAAAATATTAGGACTTTTATTGGTACGTACGTGGTATTATAAATAAAATATCTCATACGCTTTGTAATCTGTGAGCGTATTACTATTATTACATTTATTTAGATGAATAAAGCTAATTAAAACATATTTGTTTAAATACTTCACTTTTTAATAAAACTTGGACGTATACACAATCTTCATTAAAACTAAATCAGACATACTATAACAGTATTTTAACTATAAATATACACTCTTTCAACAAGAATTCATTCGTCATTTGTTTCAAATTGCAAACATAAATAGAGAGAGAAATATATACATCTTATTTGCATGTGTTTGTAATACATTTATGTTTGTGTGTGTTTAAGTGGATTGGAGAATGGATGAGATTTACAATTAGATATTGTTTTGTTAAAACGTGTGTCCAGGAATAAAAGATGTGGCTTTGGCAATAAAGACGTAAACAAGAACGTCCCACGTCCCACTATGTGAGAAACATATAGATTATAGGTAGTTGGAAACATACTTTTTATGAACATGCTATGGAAACATACAGATTTATTCAATATCTATATAATTAGACTAATCTACTCTTGTGAAAAATTGATTAAGATAGATACATATTTATTCATTTATACTTCTTTACATTAAAAGAAAAACGAATAACATGAAAATTATAACGGATGCAACGGACGGCCTTATCTCAAACCTCTTCGAGGCAACTGTAGTAAGGAAAAATCTAAAAAATAAATATTAAGGGTAAAGTGCAAGAAATGCATAACCAAATCAACAAAAACAAAATTACAAGTAACTCTGAAAAATTATAGAATAACAACAACTTAATCTGAAATAATACAAGAAAAATAAACAAAACAGTAAAAGCTAAACTCACGGATTCATGAATTACAATACAATACAAAATAAAAATAATAAGAAATACAAGAATTCCAATTTCATAATTGAGCAGGATAACACATGGTTAAGGAATGTTAATGTAGAAGAGTTTTAAAAGAGGTTAGGTTATGCCAATAGCCAATCGTATGGGGTCGCGCAGCGTATTTCACAAGCAAAGTCAAAGTCAAAAATCATTTATTCATATAGGTAACACAATGTACACTTATGAACGTCAAAAAAGAAATGTACATTAAATGCTTCTAATTTTACATTTACCGCCAGTTCTCAAATCAAGGGCGTAGAACGGAAGAGAAGAACTGGCAATAAGCTCTCCGCCACTCTTTTTAATCGCCATAATGGCGGAGATCCTAATGTTGAGTATATGGCTAGGCTAAGCTATTCGTATGTGTGCAACACGATATTATATTAAAGGCAATGTTGTGAACGAAATGATAGTTCATAGTTCACGTTGCCTAAGTTTTCTAAAAAAGAATATTTAAATCTGGTTTGTTACTTTTGCTTTTATTGACTGTGTCGATCCACCTTAATAAAATTTTTAAAACATCAATAATTTCTGTTCTATCCTTATTTTAAAAGTCTTTAAATGTATGTCAGTTGTATATTTTTATAGCAGCTTTTCATATCAAACGCCTTATTATATATCACGGCTGTTAAACTCCCCCAACCTCTGTCTAATATCACTTGAGAAATAGGGTTCGCGAAGGAGCTTATAAATATACAAACTCTAAAGTTGATTGGAGCCTCCTTCTAAGGAAAAAAACTCCACCCGACACAACAAAACATGTATTTTATTTACTATACATCGAACTGGTCATAAAAGATATTTAAAAAAAAACCAAGCTTATTCTTTGGTTTAACCGAGTCACAATTAAATCAAATTGAAACGTAGTCTTAACTAAACTTAAAACATAATACAGCGCAAAGTCGATATAATTTATATAGCATTGTATGTGTTCGGAAGCTTTCTATGATTAAGGTCTATCTGCAAAATGCTTTACAAAGTTAGCTGGCACGGCCTTAAACAAATTCCTGCCAAAAAACTTAAATGCCTAGACACCGATTCAAGTCACGAATCTAGTTCGGGCACACTGCGGTTTCAAGTTAACTTGATATATTACAACGTTACATTTAAGTTTAATGTCGAAAATACTTATTTGTCTAGTTCTTTAAAAAAAATTATAAACACATTATGCGTAATCTATTGTTGGCTTATTCGTTTAACTTAGTGACGCCGGCACTGTCGATGATGTGCTTAACACTCTAAAGGTTTGTCCAGCATGGGAGGTGCAATGAAGGCCCCTACTGGGCGTGCTACATGGCGAGGACGTTACGTGAGCGTAGTAGTTACAAGAACAGACAGTGACGGAACGTGGAAAGAGATTCTGCAGGGCCATCAAAGAAGAAGCGGAGAGGGGGCAGGCAGGTCGATCCCGAAGGCTATCCGCATCGCCGTAAGAGACCACAGCGTCGCCGTTCCACCGTGCAACGCGTTGTGTAATCCTGGGCACGCAGACGTTTTCATGGGATGCTTTCGCATCCTTGCAAACAACTCCCCCAGTTGTACAAACGATGGCGAATTGGCCGATGTAAGTATTCACTTGCTGTGCCAAGGTCCATTACACATCTTTCAGGGCCATAGGGCCATGGTTTGGCGGTCGATTGCAGATAGGGTTACGCTGATACCGTGTCCTGCCTCGGCCGATTGCTGGTGGCGCCGTGGGGTTTTAGTGGCTATGCACAGTAGCGAGTTCGAAATAATCCTGCCCTTCCAGGCAAGACAGTCGCGTCGCGTAACGCACTTCACCACGAAGTGGTGTCGTTTCACGTACAGTGACGAAAAGAGTCGGCACCTAGATATAAAAATCAACGTCATGTATCAGACCCCAAAGAGAACAAAATTAAACGTTGTAGCGCCACTGAAAGTGCGACACAATTGTATTGTTAATTTAACAACTGTATAATTAATTTCAAAGTATTCGAAACACAGACTTTAAAAGTTACTTAAACTCAGTAATTATTTAAACATGTGAGCTTTTTCGCTGTAAAAACAATTGAGTACATTTATCTTAGCTTAAATGAAGAAGTTGAAAAATTTAAACAGCGCAGTTTGACAGTAATGTTCGAAAATGTTCTAAGTAATATTTTCTTTTCAATACAACATTCTGTTGAAAGATGAAAATTGCAATTCAACATTTCCATTCTATAAGCTTCGCTGTTTGATTACTCAGACCAAAATGCGTTCTTGGGCTATAAAATTTATTCACCGTCATGTGTGGCGCAATGTATGTCCAAGTTCTTTTAATTCAACTTTTAAATTATTTCAGCGAATAGTTATACGCGCGAACCTTTTCATACATTTAGTAAATTCATTGTCCTTGCTTGTGTCCGTCTAAATGAGATCTTAATCAATCTTAATCAGCTCGTGTCTTCCTTAATCAGATGGGCGGTCCGAAATGATCAAGATCGTTAGAGCCCTGCAGATTGCAGATTATAGCCCATTCTGATTAGTGGACCGTTAAACCCTCGGTTAGAAAGAAACATAGCATCCAACAGATCCCTACCACAATGTGGTTTTAAGTTGTAGTTCTGTTTAGTATAGACAAACACGTTGGATTTTTTTCAGGAAGGTTCTCTTCATTAATTCATTTGGCCAGTGTACGTCTCTCCGTTGGTACAAAACTTTTTCGTAGTCAATTTAAATTTTGATTAATCAAGCACTGCAATTATTTACCGTTGTCATAATACAAAAAAAACACACCTTTATAATATAAACGTTTATTTATAGTTTTGAAACAAATATTTTTTATTTCATAAATTTGATGAGGGTGATCGTCACATTTGAGGCAGTTGACTTTTTGTTACGCTTGGGTTATGCTAGACGCATTTTGAATTTAATTATATTTTTGCCAATTATATTTTTTAGTTACGCCCTCAATTTTATCATTTCTTAGAGAGTGTTTGTGCGTATTTTGAACTATTTCAAGGCCAAGTATTTGTATAACAGTAACCTCTGATAGTTTCCATACCAATTTACTCCTTTTGACTGAGAATTGTGTGCCCTTCTTCATGTTAAGAATATATGGAACCGAGGTAAAAAATAAAAAAAATATTATTATTATTATTTCACAAAAAAGCGTACGAGTGGGGTATACTGGACTGAACTGGTTTTGAGGCTATAAAAGCACGGCGCGCGATATGGCCGTACACATTTCTTCGCCGCTCGCACTAGATAATATTATAGACGTCACTTACAGTTATTGTTGTTGAATTTGTGGTTATGTGTTCTTAATTAATTAATAGTAGTTGTGTGGTAAATTTCGTGTAATCTAATTTGTTTTTTTAGTAATTTTATTTGTTAATTTCTTATATATATATATATATAGAAATTTACATAATATAAGAAATTAACAAATATTTATTATATATATATATATATATATATATATATATATAGATATATATTTAAATTATTGTATTTCTCTACAACGAAAAACGCTCAGACCCTTGGAATTCGTTATAAAGAGTTCTGTATTTAAACGGCGGTTTAACAGGCCATATACTTACAACAAAGCAAGCATTAAATAATCATCTACTTATGGCGACATATTTAATGGTTACTACTTCTTTCAAAGTGAATACATAAAGATAACATATCCTTTGTCTTTGGGCCACATCACGAACTTCAATTGATTTTCTTGTAATTAACCTCTATTTTGGAATGAAAAGCGTAAGTATATCATAAAAAGTTATGACTTCACTGGTTTTATACATTTGTAATATTTTTTTATGTAGCAATAAGAAAGATAAAAGTGTAAATGACAGGACTTTTTATTATACTCTTTCTGCGTTTGGAAGATCTTTCTCATAATTGAATAAACGATGTGCAGTACTGTATGTTTAAGTTAGATCATTTAAATTGCAGCAAAGACGCGCTTCATTTATAACGCGCATAACAAAAACCTTAACACTGCCTTCAAATGTGACACATTCATTTCAAAATCAAACCCAGAATAAATCTTGAAACAAAGCCACGATGATGATATCATAATGAGTATAACGACGTTGTGTCGAACTGTATATCTTATTTACATTTACCTGTAACGAATTTGCAAGGCACTAATTAATTTATGAACATCGTTACTGCACTAAACCTCTTAATACCGCAATTATGTATGTTTAGTGTTCGCATAGTTGAATCATTAGAAGCACATCTTGCAACACAAGCAAAATTTATCTCATAATAAATTATTCGATGCATTTAATAGCTAACCTTAAGATATTTATCACAATAATTACCATAAATGATTTACATGGCTTTAGCGTGCAACTTTCAATCCTGAGGTCGTAGGTTCGATACGCAGCTGTGCACCAATGGATTTTCTTTCTAATTGCGCATTTAACATTCGCTCGAACGGTAAAGGAAAACATCGTGAGGAAACCGGCTTGCCTTAGACTCACAAAGTTGACGGCGTGTGTCAGGCACAGGAGGCTTTGGAATTGACAAATGATAATGAAACAGATACAGAAATCTGAGGCCCAGACCTAAAATGGTTGTAGCGTAAAGATTTTAGTTTATAAGATAAATGCACGTGAATTCGGGAAAATAAATGAAAATATTTAAATACCCCGAAAGTACCAATCCTTATGTCAATGGGCACTCGTTTCTATTGAGGTCAATGAACTAGAGTCTCACAAATTGTTTGACTTTTGACATGTAAATTGTCTAAAGAAAGTTGACAGTCGATTATCGATATGTGAAATCGATTAACAAAACCAACTTACAGCACATTATTTTTATAGAACAGGGGGCAAACGGGCGGGAGGCTCACCTGATGTTACGTGATAGGTTCATAGGCACTGTCAATGCCAGTGGTCTCGCAAATGCGTTGCCGGCCTTTCAAGAAGTATTACGCTGGGTATCGATTACGCGCTCCTGGCGCGCGTGCCATGAATGACCGCACCGAGAGTGCGTTCCGTGAAACGCGTTCCAAATATTTGAAGTATATCAACTAAGCGCGCCTGGCGCGCGTGGCAACTGTTCCAGTGTTCGACCCTTCATCATGGAAGCCAGTCAGCAGCAGCTTTTGTAATTATTCTCAGTATTATAAACAAGAAAAGCCAGAGCCAGTGATTTGGCTTTTAGATACTCTCAATTTTTCTCTTCTGTACGATGATAGGAGCACAGTCGTTTTTTTCTTTAATTCCGGCATAGGGACTCCCATTTCACTACTGATTTCTCTCCAAGCATCTTCTCTAAGCGATTTATTATGATACGAAGAACTTTTGCTATTCCACAGTAGTTCTTTTGTACCATACAGTTGTATTAATTTACGGCAACTTTGGTTATCCATAATTGGGAGCGCAACAAACACAAAAAAATACGATATGTCCGTCCCAACTGGCGCGCGCGCCACGATTGATGCGTGGTAAAAAACCGACACCCGTCGGAACGGACCGCTCCGCGTTCGGGCGCTCCAACGAACACATTGGCGCGCGTTCCAAAGTGGTATCCATTGCGCGCGGCTGGAGCGCGTAGTCGATACGCGGCTTTACGCTCTTAGTTACATACGTACCATGAACATTTGTAAAATTGCTTACTTGTGTACAACATAATGTATATATTGAATGAAAGATTATTTAACTTTACTCATCAATCATGGTTCTACATACTTTTAAATATTTAAAAATCCTCAGAATATAAAGAAGTACAAAATTGTTCTGTCACATCATTCTTTATTAGTTTTACTTGCAACAAACAACATTAATTCCGCTATAATCTGTGGATAATGCTAGCGACACAACGCAATTAGAACGCTTCCAACGACCATAGTACACGAGTAATAATTACTGTTTATAAACTGGCTTAGTCGACTTATCAAGGAACCTTAGTTAGTTAGAATGTGCTTGCATAAACAGGTTAATTTGTTACTTAGAACTTAACGCTCTAGCGTAGCATCGCGTTGTTGAGAAATATTTACCTTAAGTTTGTATTCTGTACATCTTCAGTTGAAGTAAATAGGGTATTTAAGGCTAAAAAATGTATGAGAACAATTTGTGGAGCAAATATCTTGATGGTTGCGTACCTTTGTTTAAGAAGATCAAAATTTTATCTCTTCCCTGTATGTATATTTTAGAAATTTCCTTATTCGTTCACAAAAACAAAAATATTTTTAAGTCAACGGGAATGGACGACTGTCGAAGTAGACATGGGGGGAAATTGGCTATGCTAAAAATGAATCTGGAATTGTATAGGAAATACACCTTTTGTATGGGAATCAAGGTTTATAAAAATTTACCAAAAACATTCAAAGTAACAAAAAAATCTACCTACTATTAATAATTATTATTATACATAATATTTATAATAATTATTATTGTACAGCTTGCAATCTGGTGGACTGTGAAATCTGTGTTTTAATTTTTATGTTATAAATGTGAGGAGTATCTATGTATTAGCAAGCTGCACTAGATAACTAAATATATGAGTAAGATCTAAGAATCTAACAACCTTACGGATCCCTAAGCCCTACAGATGTACCTTAAGACGTAAATAGTGAACATATAAATAAGTTCGGGTATCTGCACCAAGAGACCTAAGGCAACAGACGGAGCCATACGGGTAGGATCAAAGGTTCTAGGTGGTGAGATTATGTCAAAGCTGGCTCACCACGATAATTAAGGGCTTGAAAGAGTCTTTGCCGCTTTGATAGGAAAGGAGAAATGTATAAGACAGAAAATATTCAAATCTTATATTCTTTTTACACCTATTCACACATACATAATATTATTCTTGTGAGCTGCTATCACGCACCTTCAGCTGATAACATTAATAATAACCAAGTAGCCCGTGTCAGCAGTTGGTGTATGTTCAAATGAAAGCTCACCGCTGTGTGAGTTACAGAATCGCAGGGCTGAACAAAATATTTTTAAGTAAACCATTCCTTTAAAACTAATATTTAAT